GTAGTAGGCGTTGGGATAGATAATCTAAGCTCAAAAAATTGAATGAAGAGGCACCAACGATTTTCATGGGTTTCGCTCACCTTCATATTCTGTTACCCAGGACTAATCTAAAGCCATAGATAATGCATATTTGGCGATCGCGTATTTTATTTGGGGTGTGATTTGTAGCAGTTGGGTGCTTAGGAGGGAACATTGGACTTAAACATTTTAAAAAAATGAGACGAAGTTATGTATCATTTTCGTTTCGTCTCTTCACACTTATTGTTAGAGGGATTTCCAGTCTCTAGGCCCTCTCACTCAGTATGGAGAGGACCTATAATAATCATAGAGAAATTTATCAAAGGAAGAATCAGCTTCCATATTTTGTCTATTTTTCTGCGAAAAATCCGTGTTTTTCCGTGTCCTCGAAGCAGAGTGTCCCCTTACTAGGATGGGGGGGGGGGGGGGGGGGGAGAGGGGGGCTATTCTGATCCAGGAGCGATCTATCCTTTACTCTGCCATAGCTGTGTTCTCCACTACTTTCGCACTCTGTAGAAAATATAAGAGCAGAAGACATGATGTCATAGGTAAACATGCAAGTTTAGGTTATGACCACTTGAATGTGTAAAACGATTCATAAGTGATCACATCAAACAGAATCAACAAATTTTGTACAAGCTCTGCACGCATGATTTTTACGTGTCGGAATGGTTAAGATTGTGGAAGTGAAGAATTATTTTTTTGCTCAAATAGTTTGGAACCACGTTTACCATTGATACTAGCGCAGGATTGTGTGTAGTTGGCCTAATAGTTTTCAGTTTTTTTAGTTGGGGTTTTTGGGTTCTATGCCTTTTTTGGCATGCTAATATAGAAAGAGGTGAAGGCTGCATGATGTATGCGCTTCAGAGTGATTTAATAATAGGGGGGGGGGAGAGGAATTGGTGAGTGATCTATGGAATTCTAATTTTTATTAAGGCTTCACTTGCGGTCCAGTATAAGCTCTAGTAGTGCTTGATTGATTTTGAAACTAAATCAAGTTTTTGAAATTCTCTAATTTCGTTCCCTTCTTTTTGCCTCGTTTGTTCACCTGGTTGCGCTTTTTACCAAGTCACGGTTTGCTCTCTAGTTCTGACAAAGCTGATCAATTTCTTTTTTTTGTTTTCTACTCCTGCTGTTGTCCGGAAGCCTATCTTCCATCCATATCGCTTACTTACCAGTCTCCTGTGAAGTGCAGCCGTGCAGCTCGCTTGCACTGAGAGTTTGCTGTCACCTTCGCCAATCGATCCGGCTATATCGTACGCCGGCCAGATTGTTCTAGGCTCATTGTTATGTGATGGATTCTCGGAGTGCACTCAACTACGAAAGTGGAGACATTTTTCGTATCAGAGTGACGTCCAATATAGGCTACCCGTGCATTTTGATCTATTAAAGGCACCGTCAATCAAAATCGAGGGTGCTGAGATTTTGGTGTAGTATGATAGCGGGACCTTTAACTAAGGGCCGCATGCACTAATATCCCCGCGGGGAGGGGATCGCAGCTTCAGAAGAAAGCTTTATATCCTGAAGCTCCGGATATCTGGATTTCACGCTGTCTACCTATCCTTAAGTATTCCTACTACCCTTCACTATGAACATGTTGAAGAGGAGCGAGAAGCTGTACGAACCGCATTTTCCAGCTTTTGTATGATCCCTGATGATCCCGGCGGTTTTCTTTAAAGTCATTTTTCTTTCTCCGAAGTTAACGAAAACCTTCCAAAGTTGTACTGAACATCTAACACAATACTGCTAAGCATGTTGCTGATGAGAACAAATGAGTTTTTGAAAAGCCGAATTTTTCGGTAAGCCTCAAATTTCGACCTGTGGATCATCGCAAATTTCATGACCTCAAAACATCATTTGTTCTTAGCAGCAACATGCTTAGCACTGTCGGGTTAGACAATCTGCACAACTCTGGAGATTCTTCGTTAACTTCGGAAAAAGAAAAATGACTTTGAAGAAAAGCGAAGGGGATCATCAGGGATCATACAAAAGCTGGAAAATGCGGTTCGTACAGCTTCTCGCTCCTCTTCAACATGTTCATAGTGAAGGGTAATAGGAATACTTACGGATAGGTACACAACGTGAAATCCAGGTATCTGGAGTTTCGAAATATAAAGCTTTCTTTTAAGCTGCGATCCCCTCCCCGCGGGGATGTTAGTGCATGCAGCCCTAAGTAAGTGCTCAAGTTCCGTTGCAAGAGATGAATTTCGAAGCGAGAGATGTGCTCTAGAAGGTACCTGCGCTCACGTCCGTCTCGCCTTTCAACGTGGTCCGAAAGTAGGGTGTGCTCAGTTGGTTTCGAATAGCTAGGAATGTTGAAAATTTGTTTGTTATAATAAAGGACGGATATCCTACTTATCTTGCTACTTGAAGTCTGCTTTAGTACGCGGTATTTTCGGACCATTTACGTTGTGGGCAGAACGGAGATGTGCGCAGGTGCCTTTATCTCCCTGGAATTCATATTTTGCAAATGGACTTGAACGCTTGCTTAGTTAGGGAGTCGCGTTATTATATACCACACTAAATCCTCACCAAGCTCAATTTGGGGTGGACCGTGCCTTTAATTTTGGCGCTTAGCCAAATAATGCATGGAATTTAGTTCTTCTATGAATGATAGCAGTGAAAGCTATTATTCATGGCGTGAATCGCAAATGTTTGATTTGATGACAGGATGTAGGCGGAGACGTGCTCCGAAGCACTAACATGCTACTCAACGCCTTTGTCGCTGCCATGATGCAAAAGGGAGGGAGGGAAGTGGGTGGACGCATTTAGCCTTGTTTCTATAGGAACTTGGGAAGGTAGAGAGAGAGGAGCCAGAAGGGAAATGGAAACTAGGCAAGTATCAGTTTGAAATAGGAGAATCGGAAATTGACATTTGTCTAAAAAGCCGATTATGAAATCTCGCAATGACGAGCTGGAGAGCTTGCGGGAATCTTTTTATGGTACGCAATATATCTGACCCAATAAAGTGCAGAGTGATTGAGTCCATTACTCACGTTTGAAGAGGAAGTGAAGAATTGTCCGGAGAAACGAAAGGGCATTTCGTGTGCATGATGTATGAGGATAATCTTGGTGTGCCCTTTTTCGGAGTGCCAGGAATTTGCTGCATTGCAGATAAATAATGACTCAAAGCACCTGTTATTGGTCGTTAACTCCGTGTAAGCTCATGTGCAGTAGATTGGGTATAAAATGTACTCCCATAGTTTTTTTTACATGATTCGGATTTCAAGAGAGAAAAGAAATATTTATTTTGATTTACCTGAGGTCCATACTACACGCTTTCGCCAGTCTCTTTGGTCTACTTTACCCACTATGTTTAGAATTTCAGCGAGCCTTATTCTGATTGACTGTAAGTGATTAGCTAACAGCAGTGGCGGACCGGGTACGGGAAGGGGGGGGGGTTACGAGAGTGGGTCGCGAAATTTTTGAACTTCACTTACGTGGGTTATAAAAATGTGCAAGTGAATCGTTTATTTTTGTAAATGATTGAAATAATTTTTTAAACCTTTCAAAAATTCAACTTACCCTTGTAAAAAAGTTTTTTTCGGGGCGTGGCTGACGCCACGTCCCCTTCTTGATTTTGTGGGTTATGGGCCCACAAAAATTTTGAGAAACACCCCAAAATAGTGCGTGCTGGCGCCACGCACCTTCATTTGAAAAATAATTTTGCCACCCCCCCCCCCCCCCCGATTCGAAATCCTGGGACCGCCCTGGCTAACAGCTATATACCTCCCGTACTCCCACATTCTCTCCGTTGCCATCTTTCTTTTAACTTGTAGTTCCAGCAGCTCGTTTATCGAGAATATCTGTAAATCTCAAATCTTAATCGCTGGATCCGCTGGATCCTCGTGATTGCGTTACACTCCAAGAGAGATTATTCTTTTTACAAGTTTGCCAAGTGTCCGATAGACGATCGTTCAATTTATGCCCCTGTTTACATTGTCTGGGTACACCAACTCAACCTCTGATGTCTCGCTGTCAAAAACCGGTCTTAGCGTGAAACGATCAAGTTACAATGCGGCACAACAGAAGTATGAATGACAGGGAATGAGTGTTTTGTACAGCAAATCGTTTACTCATTGCATTGAGCGAAGGGGGTGGCCATAAGCGGATCTGTTAGAGCTGAGGACCTAATTGGGGTACTTACGGATTAGTCCTATCTAGGATTATGTCTAGTTAGGCAAATCTTGCTTGCCATGAAAGCTGCTTTACTTGGAAGCATTAACGGGGATAAAGAGAGAGGGTGTGAAACATAGAATAGTCTTCATTTTGCTCAAAGCAATAATTACCATTTAGAATTTTTTTGGATTTTGAAATGCTTTCCAAAATTTTAGCCCTGAATTTTAGATTTTTTCAAGGTGTATTTGAATTTCAAAATTTTGCAAAAATTATTTCAACTATATGCAAACATAAACAACTCACTTGCACACTTCAATAGCTCGTGTAAGTTACCTGCAATTTCACCCATTTTCGGGGGGTCCGGAGGGTGTTGTCTAATCGAGTCGTTAGTATGGGAATCAAAATCAAAGTAAATAATCTGCACTAAATCTTTGTATGTCTTGCGCAGACGGTTGGTCACGGAGTAGGTTTGTGACAGATTTTTGGTCCTCTCTTACATCTAAAACTGATAGTCTAACTGTAAGTCTCAGTTATCAAAATGCTCATCATATGCCACAGCGCACATAGGAAAAGTTCACAGTGAAAGAGATTCAAACGAGTAACGAGTAAATCTGAGAAACTTAACATCTTGATACTGAGACGAAAGGTGAGAACCTGAATTAGTTTGGTACGATGTTCAACACCTTCAAGAGGGCTACTATGCGTACCAAAATTTTCAAAATGGCCTTGACTTCCGTACCTAAATTCATATATGTGTATCTGATCAGGCTTCCTTTGTTATATTTTTCAAAACATTTTTTTGCTATTTTTCGATCATTTGCTTGCTCATGTCCTATTTACAAATTCATAGCACACTTTTACAGGATAAATCGAGCGCGTTCGGATCCGCAAATCAATCAGATTTCCATGCCAATGCATATGGTTCAGGGAAATGGAGGTCCTATTATGGTACCGCATCACATGATGCAAGTGAGTCTAGCTTTTGCGTACTTATTTTGATGTACATCCGATTATTTTTGATATTAAATGGTTGAGAAACATGATGTTATGAGTATTTTTATCTAATTACCATCTGTATTGGTCGAAGTTGCGTTTCCATATAATTTGTATGTTTTGTATATGTTTATGTTTTATAGGTCATGGAACGCTGATTTGTAATTTGCTCTCGGTATCTGCAAAGCGCTTCTGAGAAAGAAAGTTATGAGAATTTTTTGAACCAAAAATCTAAGCTTTTGGCTAGGGTAAAAACAAGCGTTAAGAACTTTACGGCGCTTCAGTGGAGCAGCACTAGTATAAGTTACTTAGACTTAAGGTATTAACTGCGTCGTTTTGGGAGCAAACATGACCCTATTTGAGCTCAAGGACTACAGTTCTGAGTGAGTTTACTGTAGCTGCGCGTTAAAATTTTTGCTAAAAAAATCATAATTTCCCTCCAGAAACGCTTTGCAGGTAACGAAGGCAGATTCGAAATCAGCGTTCCATGCAAGACAGTATATATTTTCTTTAGAATCGCCACTTCGACCAGGTATCCTCCCTTAGTCTGATGCGCACTGCTGTGCTGTGCTATAATGAAACAGTTCAGAGAAATCCCTAGCTTAAAACTTTCCAAGATTTAATTTCAATTTTCAAGAAGTTTCAAGTGGCAGCAAGAATTTTAGAATTAGAATTTAGAATATAGCTATCATGATTATTTTGAATCGCAAGCAGTAACAAAGCAAAGAAATATAGATTTTACTCAACATAAGAATTTATGAACCTGTACGGCAAAAGTCCAGAGACACTTTCGAGTGAGCGGTATCTTTGAGACGCAGCAAACGGGACAACGGGTGTTGAAACCATTTAGCAGATTTTGAATCTCGAGAAAATTTTGACCACGCTGTTCGAGAATACTTTCCCCATGCGCTCCATGTTGGTATATAATAGCTAAGTGACAATGAGTACGAATTTAGGAGAAATTTTGCTGAATATAATATGTGATTTTTCTGCTAATTTGCCAGAATGCCTAACAATTGTGTTTTATAGGCTGGACCCAGTGGAATGAACATGATGCCATTAGGACAACAGTGCCCGATGCCGAATGCACCGAATATGATACCTTCACAGCCAGGTTAGAAATGCTGTTCTTGTAGTCTTCAACCTTACTCCCCTGGAATTTTCTTTCTGCATACTTTGTCCCCGTCTCATCGTGGAGTCTTCCACGAATCGAGATCAATTCAATTCAAATTCAGGAATGGTTCCACAGTCACAATCAGTTGGTGGGCCGCCACAAACACCCATGCAAAACGTGAATATGCAGTCGCCATTACAGTCGCCTATGCATTATCAGATGCAAAGCTATGGGTATGCAAACTAGTTTTCATCATACTTTGCTTCTGAATTGTATGCATTTTTCATCGGGGAAGTTCGGAAGTGTTACCGTGCCATGTCTTTGTAACAAAATTTTAGTAGTTCTTTGCACTTAGAGACTATTGACATATTAATCTTGAAAAGGACATTTTGCACTGTAGTACCTTTTTTAGTGTCACTCAGGGATAAAATAGTACAAGTAAAACGAAATCACAAAAATATGTTTTACTTTATCTACCTATTTGAACATGCTTACCAATCTTCTTTCCGCATAGTAATGTATCTCTGTTGGGGTTATTTTGCTTTTGCCTACCGACCTGACAGAAAGCCATGCAAAAAAAATGGCAACTATGATCGCGTTTAGCATTTGGTTTTCCTGAGAAGTTATTATAAGTAAATCTTAATGTTGACTTTTTCCACTTCCACCGAACACATGGTTTAGATGGCGCTACCGTAAGAAATAATTCCCATGTTCGTGATCAGCAGTTATGACCCCTCTAAGCAAGGTCGCCGATATTGAACTGCGTGGCATAATGCAGAAATAGGCATGCTAGGCCCTTCTTGACAGTATTTTGTAGCGTTGAGAATTTGAATCCATTTGTGAAGGAGAAGGTACGAGTAGATCACTCACGTTTGTTCAAATTCTTGATTATTATTATCTAAAGATATTTCTCTTCAAAATATCGCTTTGATTTGCTCAGGTTCCCAAATGGCAGCCCTATGCAGTCGCCAATGGGTTCTCCAATGGGTTCCAGTCTAATGCTAGATGAGAGGACAACACCTATGATGGAACTCAGTCCACCTGGCATGCATGACCCATGCAGTGAGGTTAGTGGTAAAGCTTACAAGGGGAGAACCCTAAATCGATTTGGCTTTCCTGGATCTAGTATGTGTTGGTTCCATTTCTGTTTTTGGTAGCTGCTGACCGTTTCGTAGAAAAAAGTTATGGGCGTTTTTACTGTGGATCTTGCTTGAGCATAAGCAAAGTCTCCCAAACAGATGGAAATGTGCCTGTTTCTCGCTGTCAAGAAAAGTTTACAGAAAAAGGACCTTACATTTACGGTATTTGAACTTAGTAGATTGCAACCAATAGAAAGTAGGGGGTCAGCTTTATTCAAGGAGAGGCACACAAAAACTGCAAGGGAAAATGCCCATAACTTTTTTCGAAGAAACGCGGCAGCTAGCGACTACAGATTTGAAAGCAGCCATCAAGCTTATCAGAAGATCACATCTCATCTACTAGAAAGGCACTTTTGACTCGGGATCCTTCCTTTTTAGTTCTTCATTCACAGTCAGGAAGGAACAGTTGGGGGATAGCTTGGTATTTTACGTATGAAATTGGAATTTTTAGCATATTCCTTCACATCTCACCTTTTTCACTAGAAAACAAGAATTTGGGCTAATTTATCGGGCCCTCTAAGATCACTAACTTCTAGGCTGGTAGTTTACCAAACATCCATGGAATGCCACAGCAGCAGCCTCCACCTTTCTATCATCAAACAGTCGGGCAACGCCACAGCACCGGTGGTGCACTTGTGGGCGCAACCCGTCTTGCTCCGACGACAGTGCGAACACCCGAAAGTCAGTCTGCACCAACATCTCCAGCGAATAATCTTGATCCGTCTCAACATCTGCAGTGGCCGGGCACCCGGTAAGTTCAGAACACCTACACCTACAAACACATTTGTAGCTTCCTACATAATTAGAGCTGGTGAATTGAGTTTGCATGCACCACTTGCTGCAGCCACTTTTTTATTAGCGTTCCTTTCATGCATTCTGAATAGTTGGTGTGGGTGGCCGAGAAGTAAAAATTTGGAATTCATTGTCAGGCAAAGTTTTGCTGAGACATGCCGCAGTGTGAGGGATTTATCAAGTAAACTTGTTATTGTTTAGAACATTCTCCAACTCACCAGAGTCTTTGGACATACCGCGTTTGGTGCTGACAAATCCGGAAGGAACTAATGGCCCACATTTGGAGTGCTTCAACGATTTAGAGCATCTAACACTTGACACAAATGATATGCAGATGCTGTGCAATGGTTCAGGAAACGGTAATCCGGTGCAACAGGTGAGTCTGAGTTTAACTTCTCAGTTTCGCATATCTTGGTCAATTTCCGGGTAACTGTTATTTTCTCGCTGATTATTTTGAAGTTAATTTTCAATACTATACCTTACAATATCTAAGTTCCTCCAAAAGTTGTTTCCACCACTTTTTTTGAATGTGTAAGCTTGCGTTGATGTCAGCATAACCTCCTTGAAAGATGGACTAGTGAATGCTTGGCAAAGAGATCCATTAGAAGTGAAATCATTTTGTAAGTCTTAGACTGAGAATGGGCATCTTATTGCCGTGTCTTCATGAAAAATATGAAACAAAATTTGCAACTATTTGCAGTTTGTGGGATTGGACGATGAGTTCTTTGTGCCGTTACCTTGCTCTTTTCGCGTAACTTCATCGCCTATTTCATAGTTGCGCTACTTTGTAAAGATCATGACTTCGTGCATCACATCAATTTCATAGTTGTTCCATATTTTGCGTTGATTTCAGGACAGCCGATATTCGTCCGAATAGCACTTGCTTATGGTATGAACAATGCTTCACACTATGCAGTGTCTCGCGAATTCTGTAGATTAACACATTTTTTCCGCCGTTCAGCTCAGTCAGCTCCAAACCTGTGACATTCATCGATTTGCCTCAGAATTTTATATTTTATGTACTTTTCATTTACCATGGGTTATCGCAGTTTTTTTCGTTTTCCCCCGTCATTTTTCACGATTTTAAAACAGTAGTAGTAATTATTGGTTTTGATTGGCTGTTTTTGTAGATTGATATTCTGTGAAAGAAATGGTGTAGTTTCTCGTTTGACGTTTGCGGCATCAGCTAGCGAGTTATAAATTATAAAACTCGTTATGATTTTTTTAACTTTCTCGCGTTGGTACATTTGGCTGTGATGTCACTATTACATTTCAATGCATCATTGAAGGTTCACAAATGATCCATATTAACCCAGTGTGTGGTAAAGGTGATGCAAATGATCGCTTCCATCGACACCATCCCAAAGTAGATTGCGGGCGAATATGCGTTAGTAAGACGTTTTTGTCGGAGTTTAGTTGATGCGTTAGGCATTCACGCTAGTTGTTGCGTTCCTAGCGCCATTCTATTGCTTGATCACAATTTATCTGACGCTAACCTTGCGAGACTTTCGTATTTACAAAGTTGTCAGTAACATTCAGTGCTCTTTTCTTATTTATATCTTATTGCATCGTTTATGTGGTATTCATGGACTAACACATCAACATTAATAGTACTTCCGGTTTTACAGATCAATTTTTGCTATTGCTTGAGCCCGTACTTACCAGATTGCAACTGTGCTATATTTCACTGCTTGTAATGTATCGTTTCCCATGTTCTTCTCAGATAAACTTCTTGAAACATGTCCTAGTGTTCAGTGCTCAAAAGAAACGACGTATTTGCATTTAGTGGTACAGAAGCATAATGAAAACGGATTTGACATTATTATCGTGGTCGGCATGCCATATGAAACAAAGGAAGTTATTATATCTAAGTACTAGTTGAGCTAGAAGACAAGATACAAACTTAGAAATATATGTATATGCGTTTACACACAACCGGTTTCGGGCCTTAGAACTATACCGGATGTGTAGCTTTCTTGTCGGCCCTCATCAGTAGTTCACAAGAAAGCTTCAAAAGACGTAAAATTCGCTAATACTTTTTGAATACCTATGATGTCAAAAGTCAAAAAAATATTAGAAGTAGAAGTAGAAGTTGGGAAAGTAATCAGGCACGCTCAGGCAAATGAGACTTGAGACTAATGTTGTGATGTGTATGAGGTCGAATTTGAATTCATCTTACAGTGTCATCCTGGCGCGTTAGCACTAGTCCACACTGCACGTAGCTCGTGCATCAGAGGAAGATGTATCGCCGTTACAAACCCGTATTTGCGTAAAATGAAAGGTCTATCTATCATAGCCCGACATAGTATGTTCATAAAGTACCCACACTCCCATCCATTATCAAAAGATGTTCTACCCAACTCAATTATTCTATCTTTGAAGTCCGAGTAACTAGAGCAGTTTCTGTATATTCTAAGCATCTCAGATGATAATGTATTTATTAGTATGTACCTAGGTATGCTGGAGTTCCAATGAGGATATCTAATAACTTTGAAATTATAGCTGTCTGTTTTATTATAAAGACTAAATTTTACTAAATTGTCAAAAGTGTTTATGTGTAAATCTAAGAAATTAGTGATTTTGCAATTATTGTTGGTCTTTTCTATCTCAAGTGTATCATGATATATATCTTTAATAATTCTTTCAAATTCTTGTTCATTTGTAGATACGTGGAGTATATCATCAATGTATCTATAAGTATACTTAAAAGAGAATCTCAAATTGTTTGATGTAATTGCCAGCCTTTTCATAAATTCATATTCCATATATGTCAATGTTAGGTCGGCCATTTGTGGGCTACAAGAAGCACCTTGTGGTATACCCTTAATTTGTCGGTAAACGACTCCTCCAAAACTCAAGTAACTAGAGTCTAGCAGGGAGTCTATCATGTAGAGTACATCCTCCAGTTGAAAATATTTTCCGTGTAGTGTAACCGTATTGACATAAGATACGTTTCTATTACATACTCTGATATACTTAAAGCCTCTCATACACTGGGTTAAAAGTTTCTTGAGATTAGACTTTACCACGTTATGTGGTAGACTAGTAAAAAGACTTGAGAAATCCGCAGAATAAATGTTCAAGTTTCCCTTAGCTGTTGCTAAGTCCCTTATTATCTGGGTACTATTTTCCACCGCCCAGAAGTAATTAATTTGTGTTCTCTGTCTTATAACCTTACAATAATTAGCAAAATGTTTTCTTATATGTGCAAGTATGAGCTGCAAAATATTTGTAAGAGGTTTCAGTGTACTTTTTCTTGCTCCTGTTATGTATCTGAATTTGATTGGATTCTTATGCATCTTTGGTATACCATAAATTCTAGGTATTTCGAGGAATCTTTCCTCAGGTTTAATATTCAGACTGTTAAGTATTCTTACATGCTTCATTCGGATATCTTCAATTGTAAAGTTAGTGCTTTCATAGGTGCTACCTTCATTATTAGCTTGTTCCATTTCTTTCTTCATCATTTTTATATAGAATTTTTTGCAGGTAAAACTAAAATTAGAACTAGTTTTATCCACTGGGGTTATTACAAAATGTTTGTGTAATTGCTCTAAGGCTTTTTTATCGTATTGGTCGTCTTCAATTTCTTTCATGTTATACATATTATACAATTTCGGTGTAATCTTGTTCTTAAAGTAACGGTTCATGCTGTGTATTAAGTGTTCCTTGTTTGTAGAGTTAGCTCTAAATTTATGTATGTACTTTGTCACTAGTTGGGATACAAGGTCTTTTATCGTGCTTAGAACATCTTCTTTATTAAATATAGAGAGTCTTCTATATTTAGATCCTTTTCTCAATGCACTCTTCAATCTTTCGTCATCTATAAAATCGATACTCCCTGTGCAGACATGCTTATGAGTTGGATCAATATACGCAACATATTTGTCGCATACACACTCTTGATCCTCTATGTAATTAATAAGGTTAGTATCTAACTTTCTGAGAAAGTTATTATAATTACAAATTTCAAGCCCTAGAGGCTTTTGTAAGTTATAGCGGATTGTTACTCTAATATCTTTCAAATCGATGTCCCTAGTATTTATGTGTTCAGCAATTATTCTATCTACGCTAGCACTGTTGCTTAATCTAGTAAGTTTCAGTCGTTCCATAATGTTGCCCATGTATGGTAATGTGATATTTATTTGTTCTTTGTCTTTCATTAAAGTCTTTGTCCTTCCCCAAAATGGAGTGGCTATCAATGAATATATCTTGTATCTATGTTCAAATGTTAATTTATTAAAGTCTGCCGTAAAGGAGTATTCGATAAGCCTATTTATATCCATTTTATTTAATGTACGAAAGTACCTGAAGAGTGCATTACTATACAAATTATCTATCATTGTTATTACTACTTCTGTTCTGTCATAGCATGTACTCTTTCTTCTGGATCTTCTTTTCTTTCTTCCCCTTCTTGTTCTTCTGACTGGACATCTAAAGTGAGGATGTTCCCTTTTTTCTAGCGGATTAATATTCTCAGAAATATTGCCAAACCTTTTTATTTGGTCATTAAATCCAAATGGATATGCAGTGACCATATATTGTATCCACTTAAGCTCTTTGTCTCTTAAGAGTTTTTTTGTATTGTCCATTTCAGTAACATGATCCAGTACATCTACACTAATGTTCTCCGGGTCATGCCTAGTATTTTTGAAATGATCCACCATAAACGTATGGATGTTGAATTTATGAAAACTTCTCTTATGTTGATTTATTCTTGATCTCAATTTTTGTGTGGTCTCACCGACATATTGTAAGTTACACGTAAGACATGTTATCATATAAATCACATTCTTTGATTCACAATTACATATGTTGGGTTTGTTAGTTCTGAAGTAGTAATTTGTTGTAGAACTATGTGTAATGTTGTTGAATTTGATTTTATCACATATGTTACAGTTTCTTCTGTTGCATCTAGAACCAGTATTGTTATTACTTGTGTTATTGTTTACCACTCTTAGCCGATTTTCTGTGTTATTATCGTTGAACAAGGACAACACTGAACAAAGATTAGCTTGAATTAGATTTTTGTTAAGGGACCTGCAATCCATTGAGTCAAAGGCGGTCCATCCTGGACTCTTATGCAGTTTCCTTCAAGAGGCTAGTTCCTCTTAGGTTAGGGCGAACCATTTCATCGCTGGGGAGCGCTACCCGTGATGCAAACTGCATCGGATATTTATGCCCAACATCACGTCAGGGTTCTCCCGAAATTTTATAACTAATATTATTTAAATCTATTTCAATTAGCACAGCGACACTTAGATGTCAATTTCTTATCTGTTTGTAAGGTTTCTATAACATATGTGCATATTTAAATATGTATTTACTTATGTTATTGTTATGATTTCAGGACAGCCGATATTCGTCCGAATAGCACCTGCTTATGGTATGAACAATGCTTCACACTATGCAGTGTCTCGCGATTTCTGTAGATTAACACATTTTTTCCGCCGTTCAGCTCAGTCAGCTCCAAACCTGTGACATTCATCGATTTGCCTCAGAATTTTATATTTTATGTACTTTTCATTTACCATGGGTTATCGCAGTTTTTTTCGTTTTTCCCCCGTCATTTTTCACGATTTTAAAACAGTAGTAGTAATTATTGGTTTTGATTGGCTGTTTTTGTAGATTGATATTCTGTGAAAGAAATGGTGTAGTTTCTCGTTTGACGTTTGCGGCATCAGCTAGCGAGTTATAAATTATAAAACTCGTTATGATTTTTTTAACTTTCTCGCGTTGGTACATTTGGCTGTGATGTCACTATTACATTGTTTCAATGCATCATTGAAGGTTCACAAATGATCCATATTAACCCAGTGTGTGGTAAAGGTGATGCAAATGATCGCTTCCATCGACACCATCCCAAAGTAGATTGCGGGCGAATATGCGTTAGTAAGACGTTTTTGTCGGAGTTTAGTTGATGCGTTAGGCATTCACGCTAGTTGTTGCGTTCCTAGCGCCATTCTATTGCTTGATCACAATTTATCTGACGCTAACCTTGCGAGACTTTCGTATTTACAAAGTTGTCAGTAACATTCAGTGCTCTTTTCTTATTTATATCTTATTGCATCGTTTATGTGGTATTCATGGACTAACACATCAACATTAATAGTACTTCCGGTTTTACAGATCAATTTTTGCTATTGCTTGAGCCCGTACTTACCAGATTGCAACTGTGCTATATTTCACTGCTTGTAATGTATCGTTTCCCATGTTCTTCTCAGATAAACTTCTTGAAACATGTCCTAGTGTTCAGTGCTCAAAAGAAACGACGTATTTGCATTTAGTGGTACAGAAGCATAATGAAAACGGATTTGACATTACGTGGTCGGCATGCCATATTGCGTTTGTCGAGTCTCGCTTTTAACCCGTTGACGACGAGCTTTTTTTGGCGACTGTCCCTGTGGACGGACCGTTTCCGGGCATTTTCACAGCTGGCTGCATGTATGTGCATGCATGCGTCTACGCGTGAGATACAAAAATGCAAATGGGCGAGGCAACCCACTTTTGGCAAGCCCCGCCCACTTTTCAAAAATGCCGGAATTTGCACAAAGTTCACGTATTCGTGCAAATTCCGCCACTGAAAAGTGGGCGGGGCTGCCACCGAGGGGTGGAGCCTGCATAACGAGGGCGGGGTTAGAATTAAGGTTGTTTTGAGATCACAGTCATCTACGAGCCTTTCTAGCTATTTGGGAACGAAAAAAGTTTTTTGTAGAGGGCAACAGGATGGGCGGAGTTTGCCAAAAGTGGCGGGGTCAACATGAAATACTGCTGAGCTTAGGTTGATATGTGAACACAAATTGGAACCATTGTGCACATTAGATCTGATATTTAGGGTGTCGCGCCCCGTTGCGCGACATCTTCATAGGGACACACAGCCTGTCGCACACCATTGCGCGACACTCTCGTCAACTAGGGTCTTCAGCTGTGCTTTGCGGACGAGTTTATCAAGGCGTAACTCCGTGCACTAGAACCCATGCAGAAAACCCTTCGAAGTAAAGACGAAAACCAGTGAACTTGTTTTGCCCTGTCATCCACCTGCCGCAGACTTATGGTAAGCTATGCGAATTAGATGTCATGCTCGTAATCAGCAATTTGGACAACCTCTATGGGCGAATTTCCCGAGGAAGTGAGGATATTTTTCGATGTGTGCCCATCAGTTCAATGTAACATTGCTTATTCCCTGATTAAAAGACACGAGCACCCTTTGCAAACGCCTGATCAACAAGTCTTTAAGCGCGTTCTAACGCGTTTCGGTTATTAACGCTAGGGATTCGTGAAAGAACGTGTTCTAACTCGCGTTTTTTAACGAGCTCAAACATGTTCTTTTACGAAGCCCTAATAGTGAAGCATCCAAGACGCGTTAGAATCCACTCATGTACCTATTAATCAGACATATGATCGTCTCCACGATTCGTGTAGAGGTGTATTGCAGACTTTGCCTGATAACACAGGTAAACTTAAACCTCCACGTCATAGCATTGTTTTTCGTACTCTCTCGCTGTCGAAAACCGCCACGCATCGAGTTGGCAGAACCCCGCCTCTATACGAATCGTGAAGTCGATGATACGCAAAGCGTGCTCGTGTGTCCTAGTTAGAGAATGAGTGATACGTGGTTTAATCTAAAAAGATTTTGCGGAAATCTGTGAGGACTACCTCACTGCCACATTTCAGCGAAAATGTGACACGTTGTGGTCCAGTCTGACATGTTATTTCAAAATCAGTTCCGCTTAAAGGCAGCGGACAGGCAAAATGGACCCCTGTCAGAATTTCGTAGTTTCATGGGAGACTCCCCAAGTACACCGTAGCCCCAACCCCACCCTCCAATCCATGTGCTAAGTCTTGAAAAATGCTTCAAAATTCCACCAAAGACGCCCACTCAATGGAAGTGGGCGGGGCTGGTGAAGTTTTGGAGCTCCTTTACAGGACTTAGCAGTGAATGAGTTGGAGGGTGGGATTAGGGCTGCGGTGTATTTGGGGGTCTACTACCTAACATTACCAAAATCTGATAAGGGTCCATTTTGCCCGTCCACTGCTTTAAGTTTGAGAGCATTTGAATGATTCAAATGCTGTTCAGTGTTTTTCATAGTGCAGCGCTATCCAAAGCGTACACTAGAACATCTTGATTGGTTACAGCAATGTTTCAAAAATATCTTCCATCTCAGCCTCTTTGTGTTGGAAAAACTTTTGCCTATATTGAATCTCAGCTTCACTGTATTTTCGGTGGTTCACGACTTGTTGTCCCAACACAAAGGGAGATTATGGGGCCTCGAACCATCGTGCGGCGTGTAACCTCGAACTTGGGTAATAAAACTTTATTCTTTACCAACAAACAACGGAACAACGAACAACGAAATTGATGTGAAATCTATACAATTAGTTGTAACATAAGTCGTGTTACACTTTAACTTCTTACGGTAGCGATAAGTCGTACACCACTTCACATTTTCAATAGAGGTCCAAAGCACCATTCGATAGAGTAATGCAAGCTCTACAAAATGGTGTGCAGAAGTTTGCATCAGCTTCCCACCGTAAGTTTGAAAATCCAAAATCTGAATCGCACAAAGGCCAAAAAATCGCCAAAAAACATATCTTCTGTTTTGCAAATTGCGGCTCGTGAGTCGGCTGCAACTCGCTCTATGAATTTCGTCACGGAGATATACACACAGACAGACCGTCTTAACCCTCAATTATTAAGTAATGATAGCCTTTTTACTTCTGTGGGTTTGGAAGCCTTGCCCCAACATAAAGCAAGCTGAGCCAAAACAAAAGTTCGCGGAATGTTGACGGACAGTCTTCAAAGACATTGTCCAAGCTAAATTCAAACCCCTTCGAGTAGTGCTGATTCTGAGTGTGGGCCCCAGGGACATCTGCGTGGGTCCAGCCCTCTAATGTTGTCTGTGAATGGAGATGATAGACCTAAAACAGCCAAAATGCTATCAACCCCGCCCTCAAGCTTCGCCTATCCATGTAAAGCCTTTCGCGCTCTTTAGACAGGGTCCCCACAAATAGAATTTTTTAAGTTTTTGGACAAGTTGAACTTCATGATTGTAATCGGGGCCACGGAAAGGCCCCACAATGGCAAAAACATAAGAGGCAAAATGTTGGGTGGACGCTGCCTTCAAATTTTTTTTTGAAAAAGAGATAGTTCTCAACTGTTTTACAATCGCGGCACTGGTGGCTGTGAGAAAAGAGGAGGACGAAGAACTTGTGTATGCTCAATATGTTACTGAGAAAAGCCTACAATTCCTCTAATGCATTTCTCATTATTCCTTTCTGATCCTAACTCAGAGTACTCTCAGACCTATTGAAAAAATGATGAGTTGAGTTTTTACCTTGTTAATTGCAATATCCATGCAGATTTATTCTGAGACAACCTCTAACCTCGTCACTTCATCCCCTAGCACCAGTCTTTTTAAATGTCATCTCCAAAGTTCACTGATTTTGTTTTCGACCGTCCATCCACATTGTTATTCTAGTAACTGTTTTTGATCGTACATCTACATTGCTACTCAATAATGGTTTGCTATCGATCATGTTATTTGTGAACTTGCTAAAATATTGTGGACGGAATCCACCTTTTTATATATTTAAACCAATTCTGAATGGGAGATTAGCAATAGTTGACTCATTTAGCTTTGCAACATATGCCAACAAACGTTAGATGCATCAGTAATTGAAAGGCTCCCATTTAAACTGGATGACTTGAGCAAAAATGACAACCAGGTGGACCAACAAAATCTCATGGGTGAATTAGCTATGTGCAGCAGGCTGGGTAACAATCGTTGGCAAAAATCTGAAAGGTCTCGTGAAACTTGGTTACCTATCGTGTGCTTACCGTGCCCAAGCAGGAGGCTCTACATAGCATAAGATGCGCCTCTTCGAGATGAGTTTTATGCTTCTTTGAATTCGGAATTCGTTCGTTGAAGCAAATGTGCATGCGATGCGAAATTCGACGGATTTCCGCGGCCGTTGTGTATATTTACAAATCATGGATTCCCCCCAATCACTTCGTTTTTGAAGATCGAAACTTGGCAAATATAAGTGCTCAAAGTGGTCATATCTGGACGCGCCACGTGTATCTGCTCGCAGCACAACGTTCGCTGCGTTAATCGGAGTGAATTTTCGAAAGGAAGGTAGAAACAATGCTGCGCTCCTATGCATCTACAACTGGCGCAATTGTGTATGAGCCCCAACGCAGTCGGGCCTCCCTTCCACTACCACATTATGAAATTTATTGCAGAACGGATTGCTTCTTGGATATCTTTATTACAACAGCCGTGCATAAAAAATTTACGGCTGTTATAATAAAGATGCCCAAGAAGCAATCCGTTCTGCAATAAATTTAGCTTTGGAGAAAATTATTCACTGGGGTGCCTTTTTGTATATCCCTATCAACTTAGAAAAAAGTTATGGCATGCATTTTGGTAGCTCAGAAATCCCCAATTGTGACATCAATGAAATTAAATTGAGAAATTGCTCTACAGGCAAGACTTAGGTGTACTGATTGACTCTGATCTAAACATTTCTATGACTAGATCAGAGTCAATCAGTGTCGATTACGAAAAACTGTAAATAAAGCTTCATCGGCTTTATTTACAGTTTTTCGTGATCTACATAAAGATAACCCAATTATTCTTAAACAACTTTATCAAGCTTACGTTTTGCCACATATGCAGTATTGTTCCGTGGTCTGGAGTCCTTTTTTGAAAAAAAAAAAGTTTTGAAATTACAAAAATTCAACAAACATTTACACGCATATTATATCTAAGATGTCGGCGAAGCTTTGATTTCACCGATATGCCTAGCCATGAAAATCGCTTCAAGTCCTTGGCAATGAAAAGTTTGAAGTACAGACGCGTGTATCTCGATCTTGTCTTTGCATTTCGTTTACTCCGAAAAGAAATAAGGCTCAGTGCAAGTAAGTATTGGATTTTCAGACCAACATATAGAAACGGTGGGTTTGATATTCATTACTTACATATTCATAAAAAATTCGTTGGGTTTTCAATATATTTTACAAAACTTCCAGATGGCTTAGGCTGTTACCAGATACTGCATTACAATCTCAGAGCACGAATGCTTTTAAACGCAGAATTAACACACTTGATCTCTTACTTTGGAGGCATTCTGAAAATGAGTAATGAGTGATCTTTTCTCAATGAAAGTTTTTTTCGCATCATTTTATGTTCAGTTCATATCATCGTATTCTGCTTAAACCACACGTTTCTATGGTTCACTTACTTACATATCATATATCGTCAAGTCATTCGTAACTTAATATGCGTAATGCACACTATACACGTTAACTGACGAACTGCCAAACTAGAATCTGCTAATCTACAGTGATTTCTCGCTGTTTCCTTGTCTCTTTTATTTTTGCTGATTATGCGTTAGTCAATAGAACACATTTACGCGTTAGTCAATAGAACACATTTCCACACTTTGTCAAGCTAGAAGATGTTTCACCTTAAAGTTACCAGTAAGCGTGCCGTCGCTTAAAGGCCTCAGTGTGCAGTTTCACACATTAAGTTACAAATGACTCGAGGTTACATCTCCAACGGTCTCTCATACATGACATGGTATCCTTTTCACATCTTCATTCGTGAGGTTTCAAATCATTTGGAACTTCCTAATATATTATCCTTTTTATCTTGACGCTGCTATATTTATATCATGGTAGCAATGTAAGAGGGGGCTGAAAAAGACTGCTCAGTATACTTGGGTAATTCGAGAATTTTTCATCGAATGAATGAATATCGAATAAATTCGAAAAGGAAAAAATTCGAATAAACGAATATCGAAGAAATTCGGAAAATCAAAAATATCGAATGAATGAATTTCGAATAAATTCGGAAAATCAAAAATATCGAATGAATGAATTTCGAATAAATTCGGAAAATCAAAAATGTCGAATGAATGAATATCGAATATATTCGAACATTGGAAGTCGAATTTCGAATAAATATTCGAATGATTTATCGAATAACTAAAGCAATCACATCTCAAACTTGCCGACATATCTGGCTAGAGCCGATCCAATCATAATCAGCCCCCTAGTATCCCCTATACCAACTCCTAGTCAAAATTTTCCAAAAATTGCTGAAATCGATAAAATAGACTTCGGTTTCAATCAGCATCCTTATCCCCCTGTACCAACTCCCAAGCTCGTAGCTCGAGATTTTCCAAAAATCGATAAAATTTATAAAGTAAATTTTTATCCATAATCAGCACCCTCGCTTACCCCCTTGTACCAACTCTCAGCCCCGCAGCTCAAACTTCCCCAAAAATCGATAAAGTCGGTCGGTCGGCATGTAGTCTACACTTCAGCAAAAATAGTCTACACATCAGCAAAAAGTCATATTTTACCCATTGTGGACGATCTATAAAGCAGTCGATATAAATTTTTATGCTGTGCCCAAAAGATTCTTCTTCAGGTGGTCTGAAAGAGAATGATGTACACCAGAATTAAATTTATTTCTTATCAGCATCAACAATGTAAAAGCAAAGGGCTTGCTCTACTTTCTACGTCAATTAAAATCCACATATGATTTTTTTACTCGTCACAAGCAGTCGGAGAATGCGACTCTCCCTACAGTTCAAACGGTCATAACGGTTGCAAAAGATGCACTACCGAGTTTTGCGGAAAAAAAACGCGGACGAAGTGAGCTTGATTCTCAGCAGTTGGCTTTCCAACAAAGTCGAATAATCTGAATACGGAGTCATTCGAATACGAATTCGAATAAACATTCGAATAAAACATTCGAATAAAATCTATTCGAAACCCCGTTTTTTGATTATTCGAGTTTTCGAATAATATTCGAAACCTCGTTTTTTGATTATTCGAGTTTTCGAACTTTATTCGAAACTCTGTTTTTTGATTATTCGAGTTTCGAATATTATTCGAAAATGGAAGAACTCCGAATATCGAATTTCGAATACGAATATATTCGAATGTTTTATTCGAATGATCGAATTTCTATTCGATTCGGACCCAAGTATACTGCTCAGTTGCCCGCCTAGCACGTATGGATTAGCCCATTCGCTTGGTGCTCTCCTCTTTAGGTTCGCTCGCAAGTGATAAGCTCAAGGCTCTCACATTATGATACACAGCAAGTTGTTTTACTTAATGGTATATTTTCATTCATGGTAGCGATGTAGGAGGAAACTGACGGAGGTTGCCCGCCAAGCACGCATGCTTTCGCCCATTCGCTTTGGTGTTTTTTTATTTAGATTCGCTTGTAAGTGATAAGTTCAAGACTTACACATCATGTCTCTGGAAGAGCGAAAGTTTGTCCGATTTTACAAATGCACATATACCTCGGCCATATTTGACTCAAAGTGTTCTTTTAAACTCATAGCATAAGACCACTGGTAATACATATGGTTTTATCTCGACATTGTGTTATTTAATGTTTTTTCATAATCACGTTCCTTTGGCGCATCAATGAATGCACTCAATAATAAATAAATAAATAAATAAATAAATAGACAAATAAATAAATTATCAGTGGAACTCACCGAGCGATTTCGAGCACCGCGAATGAAATGCTCGAAAAAACTTATTTCAAACTAGATGGCAAACCCGGCTCCGCCCGGGACCAAACTTTGCACACATACACTTCGGGGCAGGGAGCGTGTCATAGTCCACTTTTCGTTATCGATCGATATCGATTTTATCGATTTTTTGCAAAATTTGAGCTAGGGGAAATCCCAGCCCCCTAGCACAAATTTTGCAAAAAATCGATAAAATCGATATCGATCGATAACGAAAAGTAGCCTATGACACGCTCCCTGCCCCGAAGTATATGTGTGCCAAGTTTGGTCCAAATCGGTCCAGAAATAAAAATTTCTATTCCGCACATACGTACAGACAGACATACATACAGACAGACATTCAACTTTATATATAAGATGTGATAAGAAATCGTGGTCTTGATCGAAAAAATTGCAAATAAAAATTCAATACATCTTTGAGCTGCTGAAGTGCTAATAATTTCTCATTGTTGGTTGCTAAAAGACAATGACTATTGCGAGTTACATTTTGGAGCAAAACCTCCTCAGTTCTTTGAGTGAAACCTACAGAAATAAAAGTGTTCATTCAACTACCACTTCTTGGCGCCTTTCCCTCGTGGATAAATTATTGACATTTGAGTCAAAGTCTATGGTTTGTAGATGTTCATTTGAATTCTATAACTTCGCAAAAAACAAAAACAACATGGATCCTTCCGGTTCATACAACCTGATAATCCGCTTTTGCTTTTGCCAGTTGGACCTGCATGTTGGTATCGTCCATCTTCCACAGTATAGCCAGGCTCTTTGCCGAGGTTTGCCAGCGGAGACCGGCTTTTTTCATTGCATATTTTCGAGCTAAAATTATGAGAAACTCGCTTTAAGTGTTGCGTTTCGTATTTGTCTTACATGTACTTCTACATTGTACACCACAGGGCGTCATGGTCCTACTATGTACAAAACTCGAAGTTTGTGACTAACAAGGGAAGGATACTAACTTAGATTCGCCTTTTGAGATGGGACATACATATTTGGATTTAGCTTGGAACGCTCATTCCAAATATGCCGTTGTTAACTGCTTAGCATTATTCTGAAGCGAGTTATGGTCTCTTTTCTATGCAAAGTTTGCGTGCTCCTTGACCTACTGATGCTACGGTGTCGATGTGTAGGTGGTTTGGCAATTGTATAATGCGCGCTTTCAATATCGAAAGAATTAATCTGATGCTGGCCCAACATCCTAGCACTTTTTTCGAGCAGACTCTTATCTACACACCGTCTTACGACATTCAGAAGTTTGTTAATTACTCACAACAGCAAGCCCATAACTCCCTTCGGAATAATGCTAAGCAGCTAGGAACAGCATACTTGGAATCGGCGTTCAAAGCTGATTCCAAATATATGTGTCCCATCTCAAAAGGCGAATCTAAATTGGTATCCTTTCCTTGTAAGTATGCTTTCATGAAGTTTGATTGAAATGGAAATCTTTGTGAGTAAATCAATGTGCGCCAAACTTTGCGCACATATGTTATCAACCTCTGCGCACACCAGTATTTCCATTTATATTGATTTTTAGTACTTTTCAGTAAAAATAATCTCTTATCAATCGCTATCAAACCAGTTTCACGTTTTGGTGAAAAAATAGCAGAGAAGCTCATTCATTTCGCTGTGAAGCAGATGTGGTACTTGCAGATAATGCTGCTTTGAGGTATATTTGCAACTACAATGCACATGTAAGTATGGGCTGCCAGACCGGAGAACCAAAGAGGGAGGGAAATGCAGGATGGAGCAGATGGAAGCGGGAAGAAAGTTGGAAGGGCGCAGCCTATCGAAGCAGAACACTTTTCATGCGCTCCCTTCCCTCCTTGGGTGCTGATGAACCGGGCAAACCGAGTAATTCAACTTGTTTGCAATTGAAGCGAGACCTATTTGGCTAACCAAACTGGGTCTCGAATTTCCAAAGTTGTGGATCACTCTCAAATTTTGTTTATAGGGGTTTTCTGACATGATAATCACAATTATCACACTGTTCTTGCACAAGCGCCGTTCTGTGTTGTTAAAGGCAGATTCTTGGCAAAAAGATGGGTGCCGGGCTATGGCGATGTTGAAGTAGACCCCCTAAGAAGCGATGACTGAAGTTCGGAGCGAAAAAGGAGGTTTACCAAGCCTGAAATTTGCTCCGAAGGCGGCCCGGATCTCACGTTAGGTCCTATAATACTTTGCAAAAAGTTGTACCAAGGTCCACTTTTGCGATCCAAAGGTCATTTGGATCCGCTCGCACGTAATTTTTGAAGGATTCGCGATGTATCCGCTCGTGCTTGGTGTGTTGCACTTACATGCTGGTGGTATGCGTTACACAAAAAATTGAGCTCTTTTGTTAGACTGAGACTCCTTCGTCTTGACAGGCAGATTTTCACATACACAAGCAAGAACAGACGTCTTTAGCGTGTTATTATGGTGAGATGATAGTGTTTGTCTCTGAATCGTTTGAGCACTGAGTAAGTTTCATTTTTACAAATCATGCGTATTCGTGGAACTCAAGATAACCATTCCGTAATCTTCAACTGCGTTCTTTTCATGAGTGTCAGTATATGAGTTGCTTTCAGGATGCACTTTCTACTTACTATGAGAACATAGCGCGTATTACGGATGAAACATTAGCTAAAGCAAATCGGCTACTTGGTAATTTGGAACCCATCAGGAGAGATCTCAAATCACCCAATCGGGAAAACAATTGCGTTGGGGAACACCTCTTGATTAATACAGAAAACGGGACTGATGCCCACTTGCCATTGTCGTCAGGTAGATTTTTGTTTAGATTATAGATCGGATGGAACATTTGGATCACTGAATATCTCAAACTTTCATTTCCGGTTCCTCGACTGCTTTAGGCCCCGGTCAGACTTCACGCGACTTAGTCGTCGCGATCTAATCGCCAAGATTTCCATTCATTTTCATTTCACATTCAAAAATGTCGGGCTAGAAAAGTATAACAACCGAATGCAAGTTGATCGGCATGGAATGATGTTGTAAAAGTTGTCTCGTCGCGACTGAGTCGCGACGATCAAATCGCGTGAAGTCTGCCCGGGGCCTTATACACAAACGGATTGCCGAATTTGCCTTTGCGGAAATGTAGAATTCGTCTTTACATAGTTTAGGCTTCTCTTAGGGCCGCATGCACTAACCTCCCCGCTGGGGAGGGGATCGCAGCTTAAAAAAAGCTTCATATTTCGAAACTCCAGATACTTGGATTTCACGTTGAGTACCTATCCGTGAGCATTCCTACTACCCTTCACTATGAACATTTTGAAGAGGAGCGAGAAGCTGTACGAACCGCATTTTCCAGCTTTTGTATGATCCCTGATGATCCCCGGCGCTTTTCTTTAAAGTCATTTTTCTTTCTCCGAAGTTAACGAAAACCTTTTAAAATTGTACTGAACATCTAATAACAGTGCTAAGCATGTTGCTGATGAGAACAAATGAGTTTTTGAAAAGTCGAATTTTTCGGCAAACCTCAAATTTCGACCTGTGGATCATCGAAAATTTCATGACTTGAAAACATCATTTGTTCTTATCAGCAACATGCTTAGCACTGTCGGTTTATATAATCTGCACAACTTTGGAGGTTCTTCGTTAACTTCGGAGAAAGAGAAATGACTTTAAAGAAAAGCGCCGGGGATCATCAGGGATCATACAAAAGCTGGAAAATGCGGTTCGTACAGCTTCTCGCTCCTCTTCAAAATGTTCATAGTGAAGGGTAATAGGAATACTTACGGATAGGTACACAACGTGAAATCCAGGTATTTGGATTTTGGAAATATAAAGCTTTCTTTTAAGCTGCGATCCCCTCCCCTCGGGGATGTTAGTGCATGCGGCCCTTAGTGTCCGTTGATGGCACTGTATTACCTCACTTTCCCTTCCCGCCTCGCTTTTTCACGCTCCACTGCGATCTCCCTTAACAAGTTTCGGATCAGTGCTGCACATGGTGCAGCACTTTCAAGGATCTTTTTGATGTTTGCAGGAGGTCATCTTTTTATCCAAGGTCATCAAGTCAAAGGCCTAAGCTCTTACATACTTTCCGAATGACTCTGTAGAACTGTGCCACCGATATTTGTTTAGGAGATGTGAGACAAATCGAACAACAGTTGCAACAAAGTGCGACAACACAATTTCTCTTTACTTCGAATTCAAAGAGAAAAACCTTAGTTCCAATAATGATGTGTATCGTGTACAACATAGATACTTTTGGATACAATTAGAAACTGAGTTCTTGTTTCTATCTTTCATGAAAGCATAGAAGTCCTTCTCAGGCGACAAAATTCAAACACTTCGAATTCACTCAGCACTTTGGATATGAATCTTATCTGACATGCTGATTACAGATGTAGCACACAGTATACGAATTAGGGTCCCTTTGTTGGCTAACGGCTGAAAGTACCCCCTTTTTAGCCGCGCACGCGATTTTGCGGTCCGAAACGTGTTAAAGGCAGTGTCCGGACAAAAAGTCGATTTCTAGAAAATCCGCTTACAAGGGGCTATCCGCAACGGTGAATTCGAAAATCCACGTTAGAAGGCGCGAAAACGGCGAGAACATGCGTTTTCCAAAGCCTGACAGTTTGAAACTTGACGGTTCCCACCAAGGCAGAGACGCAGGGTAGCTGCTGGACCCTACATTTTAACTGTGGCGGCATGCGTACTCTGCTGCATAGCAAGAATTCGGACAGCTCGGAGGCCCCCCCCCCCAAGGCGTAAGTCTCCCCACTTTTCGGTCGTTTTTTTTGCTTTAGGTCGATCGTTATGACGTCGCTCTTGCGCGATGTTGTGACTGAGGGGGGCCACTCTTGCATGGCATTGCAATCCCAAAATCATCACGTTAGGCCGGACACTGCCTTCAAAGGCAGCGTCCCACAAGACTGGGGGTACCTGGCTCTGGTTATAATGTAATAATAGACCTCCTAACTAAGCGACGACAGAAGTTTGCAGTGCAAAAGGGGGTCTACGAAGTCTGCAAATCGCCCCACAAGTGGCCCGAATCTTACGGTGGGCTCGGGCGAGTGCGAGATGCATGCAAGGTAGAGACGCAGAGTCGTTGCGGGACCCTGCGCTCATAACTGTGTGCGCTATACGCACTCTGGCCTTGCAAATCGATATTGCTGTGTGGACGGTGTCCGGGCCTACCGTAAGATTCGGGCCACTTTCGGAGCAAATTTCAGGAAGACCTCCTCTTTCGCTTCGAACTTCAGTCATCGCTTAGGTAGGGGTCTACTTTACATCGCCACAAAAATCCGGCACTCATCTTTTTTGCCGGGACGCTGGCTTAGTGCCCGGGCAAAACCACAATGTGAGATCTTTTGCTTACCCGGCCCTATTCGCTACGCTCATTCCGGAAATTCATAATAGGGAACGCAAAAACGGCAAAAAAGAGCTCTAACGCAGGATGTCAATCAGCAGGTGGGCGGGGTCTTCCCCAGCGTGAATTGAAGCCCCAGCTACGGAGCGATCTTCTCGGTTCCTATTTTAAGTCAGTCGTTCGCAGTTGGTGGTGCGATGTTAGGGCGGGTGGCGGAAGCGAGGAGATCGCTCCGGAAGCTGGGAGCGTAAATTCACAGTGGAAAAGATCCGCCCATTTGGTAATTTCCATCCTGCATTAGAGTCCTTTTTCGCCGTTTTCGCGCCCTTCAGTGTGGATTTTTGGATTCAGCATAGCGAATGGCCCCCTATAAGAGCAAAATTTCACATCGTGGCTTTGCCCGGATATTGCCTTTAAAGGCAGTGTCCGGGCAAAAACTCGATTGAGATTTTGTGCTTATAGGGCCTATTCACCACGCTGAATCCGAAAATCCAAACTGGAAAGCGCGAAAACGGCAAAAAAGGGCTCTAGTGCAGGAGGGAAACAGCAAGTGGGCAGAGTCCTCCCCAATGTTAATTCACGCTCTCAGCTTCTGGAGTGGCGTTCTCGATTCCGCTAGCCGTCCTAACATCGCTACCGGCCATGCGAATGATTGACTCGAAAGCGGAAGCAAGAAGATCGCTCCGGAAGCTGGGAGCGTGAATTCACAGTGGGGAGGACCCCGCCCACCTGCTGATTACCCTAATGTGTTAAAGCCGTTTTTGCCGTTTTCGTGCTCTCCAATGTGCATTTTCAGGTTCAGCATAGCGAATAGGCCCCGGCAAGCACAAAACCTCAAAATCGAGTTTTCGCCCGGACACTGCCTTTAAGGTTATCGAGCCACCGCACCTTTCATGATGTTGGGCTACGTGAGGTTTTGATTGACGTAATGAAGAATGAATACGACTTATACGAGTCGATTTGTCCCCATTTCGCTTTGGTACTTCTACCGTATACAAATGATCGCTGTCACTTAACCAGTCCCCCTCTCTGGACTGGTGGTCAAATTTTTGTAACTTACTTGTATGAATTATAAAAACGTGCAAGTAACTTGTTTATGCTTGTAAATACTCAAAAAAGTTTTTGAAAGTTTTCATTTTGATTGGCTTCGTAAAAAATTTTTTTGTTGGACGGAGCGTGGCTGCCCTCCACTCTCCTTTCTTCTGAGATCTTGGGATTGTAGGACCGCAAAAATTTCGGAACCCATTCCAAAATATTTTTCGGAGTGCGTGGCTAACGCTGGGTATATGTCAAGATGAACGATAGCTGGTACCAGTGGCGCGGGGTCATGAACTGGCAACAACGTGTTGGCTCAAAGCTCCGCCCTACTGCGGCGGACGAGTTTCTCGGACGATACCGTCAAGTAAAAATAACTTTTGATAGTGGGATATAAGCTTGTATTAGAGAGTTTTCCAATAGCTGCAGGGTAGGGGTACGAAAGCCGCCAACTTGGACCGCCTCCGCGGGCTGCTGGTCCTGAAACGACACGCAACAACATTGCGAAAGGACCAATTGTCCGCAAAAAGCGGCTCAACCTGGCGGCTTTCGTTCCCTCACCCATAGCTGCAACGCCTTCCTAGGCTAATTAACAAGGGGGCGGAGCGAACAGCGCACGGCGTACGGTACCCAGCTGGTGGCTGGCACATGCTATCGTTCATCTTGACCGCCACCCGGCTAACGCTACTCACTTACGTTCAAAGAGATTATTCCCCCCCCCCCCACCCCTACCTCCACAGCTACCCGCCTATGGTTCCCATGTGACGCTCCCCAATCTGCTTTGTGCGAATATGTCAATGAGGCCCCGATGACCAACTTTCTTTCAAAATCTGATGATCCTAAGTCGTTAGCTGCAATATTTTGAGTTTGTGCAAAAAGGCAATTACTTTAAGGCTCTGCTTGTTATCTCTCAAAAAATATTATTAAACAGATAGGTATTGAACATTTGTTTTCAATGCCCCCAGACCCTCTTGCTATTGTAGGGGCTATAGGGGCTAGTGGCGTAGTTGAACTAATGAATCAGCGCCTCTGAGCCAACCGAACCAGCCGCCTCTGCCCCCGAGGACGTGAGTGCTACCAGAATAGCTTAGGGGAATGAAGCACTGAGTAACCTGCTTCTCCGCGCAGTTCGTCATGAAGCTTGGCAAGCATTCAGCTTCTTCTACTATGAAGTAGAAGGCGCTTGGTGCAGGTCTGCAGAATGACGTCTTCAAATTTTTTAAACTTTCATCCTTTTGCCAATTCGCGTCAACTTTTTGATACGAATGAATTTGTTTGATCAAAATGCTTTCAATCAGTCTTAATTCTTTGAAGCAAATAATTCATAGATGAGAGCAGATGTAGTGCTGGTAATGACTACTCCACTGAGGGATTCAAAAATTACGTAGACACACCGTCACGTTTTCTTTCGAAGTCAGTGTCGTGCCAACAGTAAGCAGTGAATCTTTTCGTGCGGACTGGTTTTCCACATGTTCATAATCGCCTTTTCAGGGAAAATCACGGGAACAAATGTCTTTGTACATTCATTCAGCCAAACTTAAGATCGCGCGAAAAAGCAAATGCCAGGTGCTCTCCAATCCAATTTTACATATCCTGACTCATCTGTTTTAAAATATTTACTTACTGTTATTTTAGAGAACTGGAACACCAATATGCATGCGCACTTGAGCAGTGGTTGAAAAGTTCTCGGTTAGCTTTTGCTCTTTTCAACTTCCAACTTCTATGCCACCACTGAAATATGTCTAAGATAAAGCAACATTGGTAGTTGAAAAGGGAGTGTAGACAGGGCATGAATGTTTTTTGTAAAGCAAGCGAAGAAGTACGCGAATGAACTATGTTTGTGCCTTTTTGGTCTTTTTTTCTACCGTAGCCTTAATTTTGACAATATAGGAGTGAAAAAAGTTAAAAAATCTAAATAACTGGAAAATGGATATGCAGCAAATGATGCACGTAAAAAATTAGCAGTCGCGCAATCTTGATCTTGGACTGAATGAGTAATTGTTCACGCGTCATTTTCATTTCTATAAGTTTCCTTCTTAGCGCAACTTTTGACCACATCTTTGAAACACTGGTTGCTTACTGAGATGAACTTTGTAGAATTCGAAAAAATTGCAGTGAAGCAATAAAGCTAGAAACTGAACTGTAAATCAGCAATCAAATGTGCTCAAAATGCATGTTTAGGATAAATACTTCATGTGGTAAGAGCAGCACCACTGTGCGCTCTCCGTCGTCGTCTAGTCCAAGTCGAATGATGAGTGGCAGGGAATTAAAAATATCCAGAGGAGATTCAAAAGCGCCGCGTATCTGCAGCAAACATAAAAGATCTCTGAGAAAACTCGTAGATAGATATACATCCTATTCTCCAAGACGAAAATCGAAACAAGAAACACAGATTGGAAAGGAGGAGGCAAACAATGGATTAGCATTTAAGGAAAGCATACGTCATGGTTGTGTGACTATAATGCAGGCTGACAACGTTTATTTCAAGTGTCGCTGCGGGTAAGATATTTTCGTACTACATTTGACTACGCTTAATTTATTACGGTCCATTGCGATCAAAAACGGACTCTCAGGACGTTATACCACTCATTATTACCCAGTTTCGGCTCGCCTTCGGTGACGGAAGCTCTAAATTAATTACTGAATTTATTTTCGCTTCATAATCGCTATGGGCAATACTCATCGTGGGCTACATCTCTGCTCAAAAATTGCACCATGAGAAATTGAATGACGCCAATTTTCGCACAAAAATTGTTTTTTTCGATTAGAGGACATTGGTCGCCGAAAAAGGCGGTCTCGCACGGACATTTGCAACAAACCTCGCGCCTTCAGCATTACCCCTCTCTAGTTGTCCGCGTAGGTGGAGCCTCTCGTCGACCTAATGTCCTCTACCCGAATTTATTTACTGCTAGTCCATGACTTGAAGACTTACTTGCCATTCTTAGAAAATGGCTTTAAAGCACGGCTAAACAGACAAACCCAAAGTGACTTTCTTTTATCGACTTGAGGCAAGGTGAAAGTCAAAAAAGTCAATGAGGAAAAGCAAAATTTGTTTAGCCGAGACACACCTTGCATGCGCGAGAGCGTGCAGAAGATAGCAACATCCAGATTGTCCTTGCTTATTCTTGACGTCATGGTATACGAAGACTCGTAATGTCGGAAAGGCTGTTAGCTGTTTAGCCAATGCGCTTTCCACTTCTTATCTCCTGTCCTGATCATCACGTCAATCACATTTCACGTATTTTTCTACTTCAAAACAGCTAAGGTTTAGAGGCGATGCGTTCCTTCGATGTTTGTTTTGAAACGGTTTTTTGAGCGCTAGTTCAAAAAATTTTTTGCTTATGTTTGGATAGGATTCCATATTGCAGGTTTCTTACACAGATCCTCGGCTTCGTATCAATTTACGGGCCCAAATTTCGCGACTTTACATCTTCTAATCATGATCCCAGAAAAATGAAAAGACAAAAATTTTTGCACTGTTTTGGTATTTAGAATCTGAAGATTGCATTGTCTGTGAAAATTAGCCCTTTGGAGTAGATCTATACTCTGAGTATGATGAATGTCATAATAAAGGCGCATTGCAGTTATCAGCCTCCTCAGCAACTCATGGACCTTCTTGGTCAGGACATTTGAGGTATAAGGATCGCGAATTGGGGTCAGTTCTAGACGTCTATGGGAAGAGTTCTCCTGCATCGGCCGAAAGGAGCTAAGGACGCCATCCGAGAGATGAGGTAACGACACATGAGGAAAGGTAGCTAGCTTGCTCCATGCTTTATGGTCTGCCACGAACAGAAATGCAAAACCTAGAGGCCCTAGGCTACCAACCTAACCCCTAATTCCCGCTGCCGGCTATCTCAAGCCATTGCTAGAGGTGGGGTAACGCGGGATTGGCGTCTTGGAACTCACTGCGCGTTGGCGGCGAACCTTCTTAAAGAATTCCGCGACAATAAGCAAGGATTTGAATGTTGCTATTTATACGCTGCACACGCATCATGTTGCACTGATTTTCGCATGAACTCCTGGTCGACTTTTACTTTGCATCGCGTTGAAAGTAGCAAGAAAATGTCAATTTGAGTTTGTCTGTCTGGTCGTGCCTCAAAGCCATTGGGAATCGTAATGAGATTTAGTTCTAAATGAGCTTTAACAATATATGACTCACCAATTTATATGGCTATAAAAATTTTAATTGCTGGTAAGTCTTCTCGAAACATTTGCTTGTGATTTAGGCATGTTTGCAAGTATCCTGTAAAAATCTCAAGCCCTAGAAGCTCAATGTGTCAGTGGGCAGCATCATCATCATGCGAAAAATCTGTCGAAAACAAGAGGTATTCATTGCTTAGCATTTGTTATAAAAGGGCTCAGAAATGCAGCAGTGCGAGTGTTTTTCTTTTGGAAGACATTATCGGGTTGTTAAATTTGCAACTACTTTCATGACTTTTCTCACTTCTTGTATGGCGCACTCGAATCCTGCCATTACATAGGCTATTGCGTAAGCTACAATCTACAGGGTGTCCCAAAAGTATGTATACACTGTCTGATCGTTGATATCTCATTTCCCATGAAGTCTTTTGCTTACTTCTAAGCACCATTTTGTAGAGTTGGCTTCAACTTAGATTTACACTATGGAGCAAATCGTCGGTCGCTCTTCATTGTAGGATTACGGTAAAAAATTCAAGAAGGGTTGTGAGCCATCAAGGACCTTTTTTCGCCTCAGAAAGCAAGCCGAAGAACCAGAAAACGTTTACGCTAAATCAATTGAAGCCGCTAGAACCAAATATGAAGTTTGCACCTTACCGCAGTGCTTTCTTCATAAGTTACGCCAGGTAGACCGCAATAGCTGAAATTACAAGACTCCATAAAATCGTTATTACACCATTTTAAAAGCCTTGCAAACTCGTAAAAACTTGAGTAATAAAATCAGGGAGCTTGAAAACCCTAGTAGACCAATTTCCAGATTTTTTGGAATTTTTTTCAGGAACACGGTAATTCGGTAATGACGCTATAAGCTGAAAGTTCCTACCGTAATCTTACAGTAGCGAACAGCGATCCGTGATTCGCTCCATGCTGTAAATCTAAGTTAACCAGCTCTACAAAACGGTACCTGAAGGTGGGCAAGAGGCTTCTTGGGAAAGGAGATATCAACGGTCAAACAGTGTATACATACTTCTGGGACACTATGTATAAGCTACGCGCCGAGATCAAAAAGCCAAAAATTACGAACTCGATTCAATATCAGAAGGAGTGCTGTAGTTGCCTCAAGAAGTCACTGTTACAAGTTAAATCATTCACTTTCTCAAAAGAAAGTGCGGAAAGTTTTTGCTTTGCACACACCATACTGCCATACTGCCATAGGGGAGCCATCAGTAACGTCGCAAGATTTCCGTCCGGGGAGGGGGGGCGGCAAAATTTTTTTTCAAAACTTCGAAAATTTTTTTGGGGTGCTTCTTAAAAACTTTCCAGGGTCCATAACCTCTAAATCCAGATAATGGGGGCATGGCGGCAGTTACGTACCCGAAAAGTTTTTTTACAAGGCTAATTTGAATTTCTCAAAAATTTAAAAAATTCAGTTATTTAAGATTAACTAAGTAATTTGCACATTCTTTAGCCAATGTAAGTAAACAAAAATTTCGCGACCCATCCTCGGCGGGGGGGGGGGGACCCTTGGCCCGCCACTGGAGCCACGGATTTTAGTCCTCTCACTTTCAAGCCAGTACCCGGGAGAATCCCTTCACCTGAAAATGAATGGGGAAGGTAAGCTGAGAATAAATTATGAATTATGAATTTAGGGCCAAAAATAACTCAAAATGTAAACTTTTTGAGAATTTTTTCTCGAGAACCTCAATGGTTATCATTCGCTGCCGCATTCTTATGTTTTCTTTTTAAAATAATAATAAAGGATAAAGGATTCGGCGTCTTTAATACCCTCTGAGGGCATGCGCCGAACGCACACACTAACTTCATGGTCGAAGAGGCAATTGTATGCCTGCGAGCCTATTATATTGACTTGCGGGGGCCAGCCGTTTCCAAGTCAATGCTTTTATCCTCCCAGATTACTCTGATACGGGAGACGGCCCTTTAGAACCGCTAGCTCGGGCAGCGTAATTAGCGCGCGCCTGTGATTGGTTGAGGCGGCGGCAGCGACTGGCTAGGCGAGAAAGCAGCCTAGCCGTGAGAGACGTCAGACCTGCAGGATTGGACGAGTTGTTTGCCGCACACCTTCGTACACTTTTGGACGCATTACGCCGTAGAGCCTTGGCATTTTGCCAAAATTAGAGATTTGGCGGAAACTTGATAAGAAATTACTATTTTAGCTTACAATATTCTTTGTTTTGGTTCTTTTTTCGTTTGCTTTGCTGCTAAGCTCCGGTGTTGTCATTCAATTATTATTTCACTGTTTTTATCGTTTGTAATCACCTTTAACCCACGGTTTTCAATCATTTTATCAATAACGTCCAAACTGTCCGTTATCTACCCAGAGGGTAGAGGGCTTGGTTGGCCCAGGGGCGGGGATCGAACCTGTGTTCGATCTGGTCATAGCGGCGCCTTATACCACTACGCCACTCGTCCCCCTTTCTTTTTAAAAAATTTTTTCTAAATATGTGTCAAGGCTGTGGGCTTTACGAGGATTGCCACTTTGAAATAAATGGACAGGATGAACTTTGCTTGCAACAGAGGCAGAAAGCTTCACAAAAAAAACCAACTAATGTAAGGCTACATCCAACTCGATGCTAATAAGAAACCAAAGAAAATCTTGTTGAAGGTTGCAAAAACGCAGTTTGATATACGGTGGTCAGTGTATATAGTAAAAGAGATTATGAAAGTACGGTTACGTTTTTCGTACTGAGTGGAAGAGAATCAAATGCATTTCATACCAGCCAAAGTAAATCTTCTCATATATTAGGTTGTCCCGAAAATTCTGTTTTTCCATTTTGAAAATTTATAACTTTGCGTCACCTTGGCGGATTTGCATCCTTTTAACTTTATTTGAAAGCGTATGTCTTACGCTTTCGAATACTTTATAATTTTCGGAATCTACTAGCTTCTGATAACAAAGAAGACCATTTAAACTTTTATCATTTCAAGTTAGGTCGCCAAAAGTGTGAAACGCTGCGGAAAAATCTGAATAAGTAAGTGCACAGGTTTTTTGACCCATTCTTTGCAACAGTGAAAAGTTTGTGCTGTTTGGACGTCTTAGTGAAAAGTTACGGACTTCGACTTCACTACGGAAAACTCCAAAACTAATTAATTTGTCATTTTTTCCGAAAATTATAACTTGCAGACACATTCAAACAGCACAAACTTTTCGCGGTTGTAGGGAGTAGGTCAAAGACCTATGTACTGATGGTAGACGTCAACCGTCTAGTCACCTTGGTGCGATGTGTGTTACTGCACACAATTTTGAAATCAGGGATGAGGTGCTGGGCTTCCGCCGTGCCATACTTGCTCCAAGTGGCTAAAATTCGACACCAAACTGCCCGTTTTCTCGATTTTTATGTTTTTTTTTTGTTTTTAGCTGCATGCACGGTCTAGTTTTCAATGATTTGTTACCTTTACACTCGTGCATTGCCGTTTTAGATCGGATATCTGAAAATTTATCACTTCTGCTTTCAGGTAAGGGAGACACATGAGCAATCTTGCAAGACTGTGAAGTGTGCTTTTCAGTATTGTCGTAGTATAAAGAATAGAGAATGTCTCTTAGACAATACGAGTTTCAATTTCTTGTTGATTGTTATCGAAAATCCTGGTTTTTTGTGCCGAGTTTCAATGAGAAGCTGGTTTCAACACAGGATTGCTTCCAGCATAAATTTTTGCTGTTAATGCGATGTTTGTGAATTCCATGGATCTTATTCAGCATCGCAAAGCACACTTACTTCACAATCCTGCAGGATTGCTCATGTGCCTCCCTTATCTGAAAGCAGAAGTGATAACTTTTGAGATATCCGATCTAAAACGGCAATGCACAAATGTAGAGGTAACAACTCTTTGAGAAATAGACCGTGCATGCAACTAAAAACAAAAAGAAAATCAAAATAAAGAAAAACGGGCAGTTTGGTGTCGAATTTTAGCCGTATGCGTACTTGGTGCAAGTATGGCACGGCGGAAGCTTAGCACTCGTCCGAGATTTTAACATTGTGTGCCGTAACACACATCGCACCGAGGTGACTAGACGGATGATGTCTATCTATTATACGTTTTCAGAATTTTCCGCAGCGGTACACGTTTTTGGCGACCTAAATTAAAATGATGAAAGATTATATGGTTTTTTTCCATTTTTATCTCTGCAGTTAGTGTGTATTAAAAACTAGAAAGGAAAGTATTCGGAAGCGAAAGACTTACTCTTTCAAATATAATTACAAGGAGCAATTCCGTCCAGAAGCGCAAAGTTACAAATTTTCAAATACGAAAGGACAGGACTTTCGGGATAATATAAAGCTGAATGTGTGTTTGTTTGTTTGTCTGCCGGTCTGTCTGTATGTCTGTATGTCTGTATGTCTGTGTGTACGTGTGTTCCGAATAGAAAATTCCATTTCTGAACCGATCCGGACCAAACTTGGCATACATACACTTCGGGGCAGGGCGGGTGTCATAGGCTACTTTTCGTCATCGATCAATATCGATTGTATCGATTTTCATCGATTTCCTGTAAAGTTTGACCTGCGGGGCTGAGTTGGCACAGGTGGGTAATCCAGCGTACTGATTACAAATACAATGTTAGTTTTTGGATTTGTGCACTAGTTTTATCGATTTTATCGATTTCTTTTGCAAAGCCTTAGCTACGGGGCTGGGAATTGGCAAAGGGGGATAATCGAGCATGCTAAGAATTATTCGAGTGTTATCGACTGTATTGATTTTTTTGCAAAGTTTGAGCTGCGGGGCTGGGATTTCGCACAGGGATAAATGAGCGTGCTGCTAACTAACACAGGGGGAATAGGCAACTGCATGTAGAAGTGGGCACAGGGAAAGGTTGTACAGGGATAGGGATGAGAGCTTTGTCATAGTGTTTTGACAGGGCCGGGCGGAGCCAGGTAAGCCAGCTAGTCAGTTCATATTGTTGGCCAGATCAGTTTCTTCTACCTTACTGCTAAGAAGAGTTAGAAACGACGGTCTACGTTGGTTTTCCATTGAACTTTCGAATAATCTATGGCTTGTCGGGGCCTTTCGCTTCCTGGTACAAAAAAGTGCTTGTTCGGTGACCCATAACACCAATACATTGAGGGAGGCGGGTGGAGCACGCTGATACTAAATATCTCCACCCCCCAATTTTTGAAATGACAAGTTTTTTCTTCCAACAACTAATACCATTCGACTTAGAAAACGAAGATTCGACGTAGTCTAAACGACTTTTTTCTATTAGAGTGTCTCACAATTTTTGCCATTTTTATTACAACCGCCGTCTCTTTGAATCTTTCCATTTGATGTAGCTAATCATTCGACAGAGCAAAGCAAGTTCTATAAGATGGCTATCAGTAGTCTGCCCAATGCTTGACACATCGTTCATTCAATGGTACACTTTTCTTATGTTTTCTATGGCTAGACATGAAGGAAAAAATGAATGGAGTAAAATGGCAAACTCCGCCCCTAAAAGTCATGAGCTTTTCCCACACACGGATCATATAGCTCATACATACAGAAGTTCGATCATGTATTTTCAAACTTTGAATGCCCCAGTTCTCGAGAAATGGTGATGGTTAGGGTAAAAACACTAACAAATTATGAGACACCCTGATAGCTTCTCTCTACCGAAAGATACACGTTTTGTTGAACATCACATCAATCTTTAACAGCAGATTTCTGCCCAACGAAGAAGAGCTACGGATGATTATTTATCTAAGTTACAAAGCAAGTCTTCATCAATAAACGTTGACCGTCGACTTCCTTGTAGCTTTCATCTTCGTTGCGATAAGAGAGCAGCAAGTGAACACACTAAATCAGTTAGTACATCGGCCGAATAAGATCGCACATATCCTAGGGCTCAGAAGTCATAGAAAAATGGCGACTTTGATTCTCCATGACCTCAACTTTCGAATATTTTGTTGCATGTAGGGTTTTTTGTTTCCTCGCTTCAAAATTCTTTACCCTTCGAGGAATGTGATAGCCGAGACCCCTCCGAATGGGCAGGACTCGCCCTCCCCCCTCCTATCGCACCTATGGGTTGGGCCAGACTGCGGGGCGTACAAGGCGTACGCAGCGTACGCCGCGTGTGCCCTATGATGAAATATACCGAGCGTGCGCTGCGTACGTCACGTACGCCCGTACGCCGCGCACTCTGTCTCAACCCTATGGTACACACACCACGGCTCGGCACAGGTGGCTTGTAAGCCAGCTGGTATCGTTTTTTGGGACGAAAAGCAAAGGGGGTTTCGTTTTTGTGACCGAAGAGACACGGAAAATTGGCGACGGCGACCTTTTTTTTAGTCGACGTTTCGTTTTTTGGGGGATTTTGGGGAATTTTTCAGGTTTTTAGAGGAAATTTGGTTGAGGGTCAAAGGGGACTTCGTAAAAATTCCCAAAAGTTAAGGGCGACTTCGTTTTTTCCATTTTCATCTAGCCACCTCGTGCCGAGCCCTGACACACCTATTGTCGAAACGACAGATGCGAGACAAGATACTGTGTCAACATGGAAACACCAAGACATAACCGTAGGCTAGCACTGGACTATGCCTTCCTCATATCGGTTGCTTTGGGCGTAGACTTAAATGAGTTCAAATGCACTCTCGAAATCGATATTGAATGATGCGCGCACTAGAGGCGCCGGGCAACTATTCTCTTTTCGGTTTATGGGTTGTTCGCTAATATTGTCTTCTGTTATATTATGCCATAATATAACAGAAGACAATACATCAAAATGCCCAGGCGCTACGAGTTTAACCTAGGCAAAGGATATCTTTTTCCGTTTTGAAGCAAAAACGTTGGAATTTTATTGACCCATGTTTGAAACCAACAAATTTGCTCTATTCTTCTGACTACAGCTGAGTAGAATTTGCGTTTGATATAACGTGTTTGCACATCTAAAATGCGCTAAGATTTGAGCGTAAACAAATAGCCAGCCGGTAATACCGCCATTTTGCGGGAAGTGGTCGGCGTCACGGCGCAGCTATTTGTTCATGCGTAAGTTTTACCGCATTTCACTTGGAGTGCTAGCACACTATATTGAGCGGAAATTCTACTTGACATTGTATGTGCAATTTACATCACATCTGCTGTTTTGCTGCTCATTGAGTACAGCATTCGTTTTCCTTCCAGTTGACGAAGAAAGGATATCGAGCGTCGCTTCAGCAAGAAGTGTATCATCTTTCCTTAAGGCACTGATACCATTCCTGCCTCCCAGAATATAACTTTGCTCCACTCGGGGCACTATTAGCATTTCTGCCTTTCATTCAGCGGGAAGGCACCGAGAAAGTAGATGTGCACGCGTGTTCAATTTAAAACGATACCGTCTTGTGTACAATGACAAATTCGCAATCACCGCTGAATTTCTCCTATATAAATGATCGGAGAAAGAGATGGAGATCTGATAACCAATAGAACTGAAAGATGAGAACACTTTACTGTAAACATGACTATGGCACTTGCATAGCATCTATATGTATCGCCATACAGAGAAACAAAGCAAACAATGCTTCAACAAAATTCAATTACCCTTGGATTTCCCATGATTTGCGCACAGAAGCGGGTACCGAGTTGCCGGTTGTTAAAGGTGGTTTCGCTCGCCGATTTTCATTGGGCATCTCTGCGGTGTGAAGCTACTTTGAGAAATAGGAACGCCTAATAAAATTTCTCTAGTAGAGACAGTCTGCATAGTCCCAGCCAAGTTGCCCGCTTTATGCTACGAAGCAACAATGATGATTCGCCATTGTCTTCAAACTAATTGATCAGATTTTTTTTGTTGGAAAAAAAGCAAGAAAATCTTGCATTGCATTTTCTCGACCTTTGCAAGATGCAACTTTGTCATCGAAAGAACACTCATCTTTCTTCCAAAAATTGCTTTCCTTTGCAGGCAAGGATAGATTTGAGAATAACATTCCGAAAGAGTATTCTTTCTGAACACATCCCATAGGGAAAGTTCACGGTGACCTTGGTTACTTCCCTTGTGCTTCCGTGTGATGGGGACCGTTTGCACCACTACTTTCATAAAATACTCAAGAAATTACGTTGAACTCCAACTATGATGTTGACTTGTTAGATTGGCAGCGAAATTTTTAGGGGAACTAGCCTCCGCACAGCGCGTTCGCCACGCGCGCGTGGAATCTCTTCCAGGAACACGTCTGCTTCAGGTGCGTCAGAAACGTCATAACATTCAATCTCATACAGTCTCAGCTGATACATCCGACTCATTTTTCGGAACGGATTACTGCACTCTTACGACTTGAAAAGTTGATTTGGTCACCATTCAGAAACTAAAAAGGTGGAAAGAGAGTTTCGTCGTCGCACTTTCGCAGCCAAAGAAAAGGATAAGGGTTCCGCTGTAAAGGTACGTACATCGCGTGCTGTAATTTGAAGAACAGTTTTTGCCTTTCAGAAAACCGCATTCTCTCCAAAAGTGCAGAGTACAGGATTTACGACAAGGACTCGCAGCATATCCAGTCAAACAGATCCAAGTTTGTCAAAAATGTAAAATAAATGTACACATTGCATGATATAGTAATATAGCGCTCGGAGGTCGTCTGCCTCGATCCGGAGTTGGCTTACTTGCAAAAGCGCTAACTGAAAGAAAATCATTGACAGGTGCGAATGCGACAGTGATTAAGACGGCAAGGGCTAAGTAGGTTCTGGCACTTGTTATCTGGAGGGCAATCGTCTTATGGTTATTTTCAGCTCACCAAGACGCAGACCGGACAGTATACTTTTCGATGCAACATTCCGCGTAAAAGATCAGGAAACCGACGAACTTCATACCTTGATCTTGAATGCAGAAATGCAGGGAAATTTGATTAAACGGCTGATAATCAATGGGAAGGAGTGCAAGTAGGTCTTATACTAACCCTAGTTTCGCTACAAAAAACGGAAATTTATGTTTCAATTGAAGGGTTGATTGCACGTGAAAGGAAAAAATATGAAAAAGGAAACGATATCCGTAATCTTATGCTACTTGAGATTCTTCTTGTAATGCACATTCACATATGAATAAAGTGTGCAACTCAAATTGCAGCTCTCAGTTATATGGATTAACACGTTTCGGACCGGTGCAGCACATGGTGCAGCAGCTGCTTTGAATGATCTTTTTGAAGTTTACAGGAGGTTTTCTTTTAGTCCAAGCTTATCAAGTCATTGGCTCAAGTCCTACTTTTCAAATGACTCTGTAGAGCTGTGCTGCCGATATTTGATTAGGAGATATGAGGACAGATTGAACAACAGTTGCAAGAAAGTGCGGCAAAGCGAAGGGCGCGTGCAACGTCCAACTTTTCTTTGCTTCGAGTCAAGAGAGAAACCATAATCTCAATAATGATATGTACCGTGTACAACATTTCAGTCCTCTAATATACAAAGAATCGGAAACCAGAACCCCCCATTTTCCGGGAAAATCGTTGCGGGAGCCTGGATACCGTCCCCATCCCCCTCTATCCAACATCACTTGAAATTTGATGAAGAAAGGCAGTTGACGCACATAATCTCAAAGCTACAATGCAGCCTCCCTGGGCTAGAGGCTAATGGTTGCGGCTCTCAGCTGCCAGACCCGTTCAATCCCCGGGCTTAAGAGGTCTTTTTTGTCATTGGAATTCTCCAAAAATCAGCTGATTTCTTTCTCCACATATCCTCTAATATACAAAGAATCGACCAGCGAACTCAATGTGGCAAGATTTCAAATATGCCTCATTTCAAGGCCAGATTTCGCCCCTTCAGTGAAAAATTTCTGAAAATCTAAGAGCATCTCGCTTCGAAGCGTGCTTTCTTCTTCCCGGTGGTACTATTCCCTCCATCCCATCTTCAGTGGTTGGTTAGTTATGGGCGCTCAAAGTTGGCGTATCGGAGAAAAACGCTGCTGCTTCTTGAGCGAAATTTTCTTTGATTTCGATGACACACATATAGTATTTTCCACAACTTTGAGTACGTACAAAATGTAAGTGCTTTTATAAATGCTTCCGGTCATTTTCTCTTGGTACGGTGTACATGTATGCAGCGCTTTGAAATTAATCAAAGTACAGTCCAAAATTTTTCTCAAACGGTTGCCGCTGAGCGACGACTTTCAGAGGAACAAGTATGATGAAAGATTTGCCAGAGGCACGTATTGTGGATGATTTTCGTCAATCTAACATCAAACGAAGAGGATTTCCTTGCCCTTCCTTTAGACTGAATCCCCGCAGAATGTGGCGCACTCTACGATAGATATAAGCTAAAGGTTATTGCTTTACGAAGGCGAAGAAGCAGTATTAGGTGAGCGGGAGCGAACGCGGTGTCCTGCGCCTCAAGCGCTCTGCGGTTGATCAGCGTTTGCGCCCAAAGATATATATAGCAGCCTTAATAATTATTATAAGTGCGCCATCGTAATCGCAATATCATCAAACAGTAGACGATAAAAAAGAAAAGCGGTAAGAGATGATACATTAAAGTTTAGCTGAAAACAATCCCTAGGTACAGTGCTGAACACTGCTATAAATAATAAATAAGCTTGGAAATTCACCTTATTTGAGCTCTTGCTGATGAAGATGTCTGAAACTGTATAGTCCGCCTCTTAGCCGACCGTAACTCAAACTTGCTTCCTGACCCTTTGACTTTGAACGGAGAAGAGTAGAAAAAACAAACCTCCTACTCAAAACTATGCAGTGTTATAAATCCACTTATTCGAAATGCCTAGCGCGTTCCTTGACTCTCAAAACTTTTTGTGCAGTAACCCTTTGATTTAACGGGATTGACGGCTTGAAAGCAGGACTGCGAAGCCCAATCAGGGCTAAGAAATGATCAGGGAGCCCGTTCGCGAGACAGACGCAGACTACGTCGTGGGTGCTAGCGGTCACCTTCTAGCCGCCAATTCAATTGAATCAAAAGGTACGTACAAGCATGAAACATTTGCAAACCCTACTACCTCTCGTCGTGTTCATAAAAAGATGATCAGTGCACCTTTTGTATTCAAAACATTTGTCACTCTGCTTTCACAAATTCTGCGAAATTGCTCTTCCTTTTCTCCGCTTAGGCCAAAAGCGCAGAATGTGGCGCGGGCCAGAAAGATCCCCGACTTATGCATGCACGAGATGTGCAGCAAAGCGATCGCATGCACATTCTTCTTTTGTGAATGTTGGGGTGCAGCTTGGCGTGCTTCAAATGAAGGGAGAGATAAGGACATACAGATCAAAAACTCCAAAAAATGAATACTGTAAAGTTGGACTGAAAATGCTTGCGAGAGAGTTGGAACGGCGCCATTCCAGTATCCAAAGGCCCAAAATATTAAATTTGTGATTCGCTAAAACTCGGTCTACGGGGGATCACGAATATCACATCAATTTTTCACAAAAACCTCATTTGTTATGCCATGGCTTATACGGTAGGGGGTCAACATTTGACTGAAACTTGCTCTGAGAATTCTTCAGACTTGCTGTTCACAAATATCACACTCTTTCTGCATTCCGGGGTCTTTTCATGCATTTACGGTGGGTATAAGGTAAGAGGTCCAACAAGAATAAGGTCGAAACTTTGGCTAGGTGGTTATTTAGCTCGTTGAGCATGGATATCGTACGATTTCTCAAGATAGCACCATTTTCTTACGGCGGCGTTTGTACGCTAGATGGGTCGTAGTTTCAAATTTGCTCAAAACTCTGCCTTGGAGTGTTATCAAGGGATCTGATTATATTATGTTTGCTCACGGCACTAATGCCTTGTTGTGGAGTTACGGTAATTTGCAGCGTATGGATGGATATTTTTTCGCCTTTCGAGTCACTTGGATAAGTAAAATTGACCTAAATGCTTTGTCATGCGGAACGAACACAATTTTCCTGATCAGCAAGTCAGATGATCAAACAAATGTGTGATTTTGATTCCCTACCTATATCTACCGCAACTCTAGAAAGGTTCCAAAACGCCAAGAAAGTATAACCTTCTGAACTAAAACACCAAACTCAAGATTTTCTTCCTTAAACTTAACGGAACTTCATGAAAGGGCCATATAATGGACAAAGAGTACGAAGCTCCGCTCAAACTAAGCATGACAATCAACATTAGAGTCGTGCTTAAGCATAAAGTTTGTAAAAACTTCTGTGACTTCGCCAATGAATCCTTGTGAAAATTATTTTGTCACGGAACAGTAGTGGAAAAGCGGTGGGAAACTGCTCAACGCAGTTTCCCACCGAATGGGAGAGGAAAGCAAGAGGGGAAGAGGGAGAGTCTTCGAGAAGGACACTGATTTGCAATACAAAGTGTTAGGAAACTGCAGCAGCTTTGGCTTGAGAATAAAATCGAGAAAGAAGCTCTTGGGTTTTGGCACGGAAAAATTGAGGGGAATGTTGTGAAATATTGTGGACGAAAACATTACGAAGTCGAGAGGAAGATAATGTGACTTTGGCCAGTAAGCTTTGAGAAAATGCGATGGAGGCGGGATAGCTCTTTGAGTAACGATTAAACAGTCAATAACTTGATTACATAGTTTTTAAGGAAAAAAACTTAATGCATTTTGGCTAAGACTAGCGGAAAGGAAAACTATTTTTAAGACTAGACTGAGAAGGAAATCAAGCTCCTCTAACTGACGGAAAAAACCGCTAACGCTCAATAGAATTCATATCAATGGACACGCAATACGTTAATTAGGAAAAGTCGCAGAAAGGAGAGCTACGAAAAAGATGCTTTACGAGAAGAAAAAGCACTATTTTGGTTATCCAATGCGCAGGGCGAGTTTAGAGAAAAGTACGAGGTGTAGGGTATGCATGTCTATTTTCGAGAGTGAGCTTCACTGAGCGCGAAAACTAGACAATTTCTCAATTACTCTAAGCTTTTTTTTGCAAGCAATTGTACTTTTGACATTCCGACTATATGCGCACCATGCGCTTCTAACAGAACTTTCCAATCTAAGCATTACCAGATGAAGTTTATGAGCTTTTGCGGCATTAAAAATTGTTATCCGAAGTCGTCGTGACCCAATATGACAATTCTCACACCTGATGGTCATTGGGCCGCTGATCTTGTTCCTATCTTTCAAAAAAGTCAGAAGTCCTTCTCAAGCGACAAAACAAACACTTCGAATTCAATTAGAACTTTGGGTATGGAGCATTTGACATGCTGATTACAGATATGCTACACAGTCTACGAAATAAGATCCCTTGGTTAACGACTGAAAGTGCACTCCTATTTTGCCGCGCGCTATTTCGCGGCCCGAAATTGTTGAAGATGAATCGGAAATCAAATGACTTGGCTACAAGAGCAGCGTACGAGCAAATCCGCAACTTTCGGTCGCTTATTTGGAATTAATTGTTGCCTGATTCCGAAATTGCGTCTTTGAGAGTGCTAAAGTAGGGAAACAAGCTGAGCGCACTTTTAGACTTATATATATAGCTGAACGTGTGTGTATGTATCATCGGCTTCCAGATTCGTGGGGAGGTGGAGTCTCCAACTCACAGCGTGGCAGTTTTTGCTAGCGAGAGAGTCCGAAAAGCAATGCTATAAGGTTATGCTATAAGGTGGAGGTTTAGCAAGTTTATCCTTGTTATCAGGCACAAAGTCTGCAATACACCTCCACACCAATTTGGAAACAGATCATATGTATGTATGTGTGTACGTATGTGCGGAATAGAAATTTTCATTTTTGAACCGATTTGGACCAAACTTGGCACACATACACTTCGGGGCTTGAGCGTGTCATAGGCTACTTTTCGTTGACGATCGATATCGATTTTATCGATTTTTATCGATTTTGCAGAGTTTCACCTACGGGGCTGGGAGTTGGCACAGGGTAAGTGAGCATGGCGATTCCGAACACAATATTAGCATTCAGAATTATCGATTACTTTCATCGGTTTTATCGATTTTTTCAAAATTTGAGCTGAAGGGTTGGGTGGCACAGAGGGGGGGGGGGGGGTAGGTGGGCATGCTGATTTCGAAAACAACACGGGAAACGGGAAATGAAGTGTGAAGGCTGTACAGAGATAGGGATGGGACCTTTCATCATAGTGTTTTGACAGGGCCGAGCGGAGCCGGGTAAGCAAGCTAATTATAA